CATGATCTATGTGGACACCCTGGACAAGGAATTTTATTGTTTCACCAAGTTACCTTATTAATGATTATACCATTTTCAGTACTATGCAGTGGGCTACATATTCTCCTGCTCTAACACTGCCCAAGCCACAAATCATATGATGTAACTGCCCATGTAACTCCATGGTCAGACTGAATCTTTTATGCCTCTGTCTACTTGCTGATGTTAATATTATTTGAATGTGTACTTTCTCAGTTATGATGTCTAGCTGGCTTTCCCTTCCCTTTTTACTTAGGGAATGATAAATACATTGCTGATTTGAGATTAATGTAGTACAATGATATAGCCGTGCATGGATTCAGGTCTGTACTCTTTGTAGCTGGTTGACCATGGTCAAGTTACTTAAATTCCCTAAGTGTGAATTTTCTGTACAAATTGTGAATAATAATAATATCTCTCATAGGATTGCTATAAAGACTTAAAAAGGTAATGCCACTAGGCTTTAGTGGCTCATGCCTGTAATCTCAGCACTTTAGGAGGCAGAGGTGGGACAACTGCTTAAGGCCAAGAATTTGAGACCAACATAGAAAGACCCTGTCGATAAAAATTACTTAAAAAGATAATGTCACATAAAATTAAAAAATACCCAGATGTGGTGGGGTATGCCTACAGTGCTAGCTAGCTACTAGAGAGGCAGAGGCAGGAGGATGGCTGAGCCCAGGAGTTCAAGGCTACAGTGAGGTATGATTATGCCACTGTACTCTAGCCTGGGTGAGAGAATGAGGCTCTGTTTTTAAAAATAAATAAATAAATAAATAAACCACCTTAGCACAGTACCTAGCTCACAGTGAGGCTTCATAACTACTAGCTGATGTTACTGTCAGAATCAATTACATTACTATTTATAATATCATTGCTAGACTTAACAAATGAGAGAAGTATTAATCATCTGTAGAAATAGATGTCATAGCTGTCGTTGGATTAGGTTATATTCAACACGAAAGTCTTTAAATTGGCAAAAACACTCAGTTTAATATGTACCTGTTAAGCACATGTTAAAAGATAGCCTTTTTTTCTTTTTGAGACAGTCTCACTTTGTTGCCCTCGGCAGAGCGCCGTGGCGTCACAGCTCACCGCAACCTCAAACTTTTGGGCTTAGGTCATTCTCTTGCCTTGGCCTCCCAAGTAACTGGGACTACAAGTGCCCACCACAACACCTGGCTATTTTTTAAGAGATGAGGTCTCTCTCTGGCTCAGGCTGGTCTTGAACTGGTGAGCTCCGGCGATCTACCCACCTTAGCCTCCTAGAGTGCTACCATAGGCGTGAGCCTCTGCACCAGCTGGATAGTCATATTTTTTAGCTGGATGTCAGGAATCCAAATAAAGTAGGTAATTATACAGTATGCTAATCAAAAAAAGATGTCTGAAAAAATAGCCTAAAATAGTTCCCCAGATGCAGCTTGAATAAGGAAAATAAATGGCTGTTTGAGGTTAAGAGCAGAATTCTTTTGTATGATTCACTAGATGCTGGAAACCCCAGTCCCACATTTTCCCATTCCCTCTTGGTTAGAAAAATTTACATTGGTATAACATCATGCTGTTGAGGCTATTTTCTAAAAGAAAAAACTTTAAAAAAAAATTTAGATATTAAGTGGATAATCTTGGGGTAGTTTCCAGGTTTTAAAAATGTGTTGAAAATTTTTGATGGGATTATTTGATAAAAATTTCTGGAAGTTTTTCCTTATGGTGAAAATAAATATTTTTGGTTTCTGTATTTAGATGACAAATATAGTAATAATAAAACTTTTTATATATTTCTTACACTTCTTACAAGAATTCTTTTCATAACTGAGGGGTAGTGTTTTTCATTGTTCTTTGTTATTCTTAAAATAAAGGGATAGTCTTGATTCATTCATACCTATGTTCTGGGTACAGTATTGCTTACGATTAAAGTTTTTTTAGATTAATTGGCTAATTGTTCAGAGTAAGTCCCTTTTTGTGAGACCTGTAAAGAAAAGAGGGGTAACTTAAAAAGAGCAAAACTATTGAGTCTACTAGCATTGAAAAATACTCTTAAAAAGACGTTCACTTTAATTAGAGTCCAGTACTAAATGTGTTATGAGGATAGTTTCATATTTTATTCTTCACAGAACATTAAGTTCTGGCCTTGGCATTTCTCAAAATTCTTAAATATATTATTTACAGTTTTTAATTTTTTTGTTGCCTATAAAGACATATGTATCTCTTTGTTATTGTTATAACATAGTGCTGTCCTAGCAACTATCAGATGATAGAGAGGAAGGAATTACAGATTGGAGTTTGTAAACTGCAGGACACAACTTACTACTGTTTTACAAAATCAGTATAGTGGGTCATAACCAGTAAGTTTAAAAAAAAAGAAGAAATGAAATAAAATTTAACATTTATCAGAATGAATTATATACAGTAATAGTAATATTGTTTTGTGAAATTGTGTTTAAGTTATATTTTATACATAACACACAATATGTATTGTAAATTGGGGTTGTAGCTCAAAAAAAAAAAAAAATTGAAAGCTAACATTTTAGTTTGTCTTTTTGTTTCCTGCAGTCGGGTCCAGGTACTTTGACCTCTCTGTTTCCATCTGAGGAAATGATGCTGTTAAACACGCATACTAACTTTTTTAGAACATGATAATAATGAAGCACCTAATTGATCATTCTGAGAAATTAGTACATTGTTAAGATTATAGTGATATCAGATTTTCTCATGTTTTGTTTTGTGTTATTTATTTGCTTTTGGGTTTGTGTATGTTTCCAATCTTTTTATTTTAGAAAATATTGATGCTGATGGACAGGGATTTTGTCAAGGAGGATTCAGCATTGATTTTACTAAAGTAAGTTCTCATTTAAGATTGAATGAGATTCAGATCTTTCTTATTGACTAAAGTACAGTTAAAAATAAAGTGATCTATTTCAGCTACTTTATAATTATTGTTTAATGAAAACAGCTAATAAAATAACCCGTTCAACATGACATTCTCTGTTTTATATTCCCTCCCTACTAAACATTACTTATGTGAACTAGGGAAACATCACACCGGGAGTGGGAAAAGTAGAGAATCTCCCTAGTAAATGATAGGGAACTATGAGGACTTAGTATTAACTTCCAAGTTACATGAACTTATGGAATATTATAGTTTTTATTTTCAGCTAACATTGTCTTTTTCACCAAAGCTGTCAGTGGGAGCTTTATTACGGAGTAAAGTTTAGTTCCATAAACGCAGAGAAACATGCATATTTGCCTATTATTATGTGCCT